GATGAAAGGCTGATTGTCCATCGAGATTGGCAAGTCGCTTGCCATTGGAACACCTGGTCCTGATGTTCTTCTTGAATCTTTGATAACTACAGAAGTAAACCCAAACGCATGAGTGATCGAGACATAACTATTTGAGGTATAGATGAACCCACAATCAGGTCGACGAAGTCTCTTGAACAATTTGTCGCCAATTTTTCGGATCCGATGAACAAGTCTTGGCGTACGGTGTCGCTTCACATTACGCACACACAAGCGTTTAATCCCCATTGGTATACCTTTACGGACTCCAGGCACTTTGCCAGGTATTTTCCAGTCAGCAATCATCACGTTCAATATCATCAATAGTAATGAATGACTGACCATTCAACATGTGTCCCACAAGCCTATGTAGATCTTTGACCAATACCGTGTTGAATCTATACGAATCCCTGTGAATCCCAGCTCCCTTTGTAATGATCAAATCTGGAGTATTTAGTTGTTTGTTAGTATAAATTCAATGAATAAGTGTAGGCCATGCCTTCAGAGAGTGGTGATAGAGAAGAATCATTTGACTTACTCTCGATATGGGCTCTGATTTCTTCGTTACTTCCAGAATTTGCTTCAGGGATGCCATCATGATCGTTGTGATTGTCCATTGAGATTGGCAAGTCGCTTGCCATTGGAAAATCTGGTCTTGATGTTCTGCTGGAATCTTTGATAACTAGAGGAGTAAACCCAAACGTGAGTGATCGAGACATATCTATTTGAGGTGTAGATGAGCTTACAATCAAGTCGACGAAGTCTCTGAAACAACTTGTCACCAAACTTTCTGATTCCGTGAACAAGCCTTGGCATACCGTATAGCTTCCTCTAAACCAAGAAGAAAGGCCTATGCTTCAGAAGTGAGGGTGCGTAGAAAAAGGAACAAAGTGAAATACCAGATGCAAGTGAATATATTTTACCAAGATATTCGTGAAGAGATGGGTTGGAAATGGAAGTGTCTTAAAGGTCAGGGTCTGTTTTACGAATACGAAGATCGTATGGAGTGGAAATGGAAGTGTCTTAGAGGTCAGGGTTATATAGATATCTGTTTTACGAGTATGGAGATCGTAATGTCAATCTGATCACTTCCTCAGTCGGAAGCGTTTGATTCAAAACCCAGGACGCGAGGCTTCTAGGAAGTGATTGTTGAGTATTCAAAGGAAGCTGACCTGAACACAAACGTAATGAGCTTCCATCCATACTTATCGGGACTCCTGTGTTCTGTGACTGAGTGCTGAGCGGGGTGTAGTTGTCAATGGGGCTTACTCTGAGGTGTTAGCAGGCCGGATTCAGCACGTAGCTTGAATGAATGGCATACTACGCATGTTTTGGTCCCGCTTGGTACGTTATCAATGGCGATACTAGCATGCGGCGTTAAGCAGAGAGCATCTTACGAATATCTTATGGGACAAAGGGCTCATGGTCAGTCTTCTTTTGCTAACTTCGCAAAACAAAGAGCTTCAAAAAACAGATGGGTGATACAACGAAGGGTTATAAACTGCTATGATCTCAACTTAGGAGCTGGCACTCATTCATTCACGACAGTCGATCTCACTTATCAAAACAAATTATCCAAATTATTTACTCACCTCAAATATATACTGGTTATCTTTAACAGGTAACTCATCCATATTCACTCCTAGTCATCGCTTTGAAGAATATCTCTAAATAGCCACATTCATCCTCAATCTAACTATCGTATCTTCATCTTATTAGCCATGATCATTTCTGGAAACATATCGATCACAGGGAATCTTACTTCACCTTCAAGACCTATACGTAGACGCTCAGCTCCTATCCGAGCATGTAGAATGCCTGCACCATCTCATATCCATCCAAATCGCCGAGCAGTCCGTGCATCCACGCCTCACAAAGACCCTCTATTTTGGAAGAAAATCTTTAGCATACCGACGGAATTGATCGAAATCCTCTCACCGAACGTTAAACTTCAAGCTCGATCAGTGACGAAGGGTGCCCTTCGAGAACTTATCCACCACTTTGTACCGAGTCACCGCGTACCCCGCAATATTCTCAAAGCCAAGTTGATCCGTGTATTCAGAACACAAGTGCTACGTAAATACGGCCCATTTCATGGTCTTTGAGAGCATCAGAAGATATTCAATGTCAGTAATTCAGACCAGCTTGTAAAAACGAAATGTCCATAAAGCTAACCAAATACCTCATGTTTATAATTCCCTGGGCTCCATCGGTTTAGAAAGTATGCCGATTGTCCGAGTTGATGCGTAAAGGTTCGAAACGGTTCTTTTTTTCCTTGTGCATATCTTGTGCAGATCGATACTATGTAGTGGAAGGTTCGAAGTGGTCATGCCTATGCTTTCTTTGAGGTTTTGACGCCGTCTCACCTATCCTTCACGAAATTTTGAAACACTCGTACCTATTCTTTTATTCCTTTTTTATGTCAAGATATGAAAAGGTTTCTTTATTGATGGGTTTCCGGAGACACTATGATGTAAAACTTTCCAATTGATTGTATGTATCTATGCCTGTTATTCCTTGTGTATCTCTGGGTGACGCTGGGAGTTGCCCTTTCCATTGTATCATGTGGTTATCTGAGGCTGGATAGGGATTTTTCTGGAAGATGTACCACCTTAAGTCTATGCTGTACAGACAAAGAATTACCACCGAGAAGAAAATGATACCGATAATATGTATCGTTCACGCAGCCATATCCAGGTTTAAGCGTAAGATCCGGTTTGTGCCGCTTTGAGAAGAACTTAAAACATCAACTTCCGCTTCGAACTTCGAGCATCGAGCATCGAGCTTCGAGCTTTGAACTTCAAGCTTCGAGCTTCGAGCTTCGAGCTTCGAGCGCATCCCTACAGAGAATAAGCTACTATTGATTATATAAGATAAAGATCATATATCATTCTATTCTACTGATGTATGTTGTGCTAGTTATTGGTTGGGCATCATTCTATCTTCCCCCGTTGAAGACGAAAATTTTCGTTGTCTTGGATGGGAAGAAGTAACAAAGTTGATCTATATAAGTGACTCAATGCATACACAGTAGTATTGTAACACGTTCGAAAAGAAACCTGTGCATATAGCACTATGCGTCGTGTACAATGATGTCACTGCGTTAGGCTCAATTGCCAGTGACTTGAACCTCAATGAGACTCAGCAGGTAAAAGTTTGAGGCTCGAAGGCCAGACCTCTCATATTCGAACTTGAGATTCGACGTTCGAAGAGCTCAAAACTTGGTGCATGTACAGAAAAGCCCTTGCTGTTTTTTTGAGTCGAAGAAATAAGCAAGACAGAAAAAAAAACTAGACAACACAAAATGAATTGCAATATCAAGATTATGGATTATTTTTCGGCAATTTTTGGGGTGGATTCGAGACCAAATAGGTCCTACGCAAATTGCATCGGCTGCGTTTGGATTGTGTCGCGAAGATGGCACCGAAGTTGCCTCGCAAGTGAGATTGAATCGGGCATTTAGGGGATTGAATCACGAGTTAAACACCGACATGAACTCGCAAGAATGATTGAATCGGGACAAAAGGCCCGATGTTCAGTTGCTCAGAGGGGATGCGATGCGATGATTTTATCGCACATTTGTTTGAGTCGGATGAGCGCTATACGAGTAGCTATCGGACCTCATCAGGCTGAGGTTCAGTCGCTCGTCACCAATGCAGTTTGGGATCGGAACTTAGTTTCATCGGATCTGGCAAACCATTCCTCAGTCGGACTGAGGATCCCATCGAACAACCTGGATCTGATTAGACATCGCACATCAATTCTATCGGACGCCTTGGCCCCGACTCTGCTTCGGAACACCGTCCCCGATGTGACATCGGAAAGGGCATTCCGACGTGAATTTCTTGGCGGTGCATCTACAAGGAATTCATCACAGAACCGTTTCCCGAGGAGATGCCTCAAGTAATTTACTACGACAATGCTTGCAATCTCTATGCTCACATTCGTACAAATGCTGAAGATCGGGAGACTTTTCGGAATACACTCTTGCCAGTTGACGCGTTCCACATGAAGACACACAAAGAATCCCACAAAACGTGCCGTAAGAACAATGATCCAAACATTTTCCCGGAGCTGAAGCGACCTGGAGGCGCTTGGAAATTCAATGCATCAATGGCAGAGATTGTTAATGTATGGTTTGGTTGTTTTGACTCAATGTGCCGTGGAATGCACCCAGTCAAGTACAATTTTTTCCTAGATGAGATGATACGGTTACATAATTTACGACTTTGTGAGAAGTTACAACATCGTCCCAATGTGGAATTCATAGGTAGCGTTGAGTATAAGAGTAAGCCACTGTAGCATGTAGTGGTACTATTATGAGTTAGACTACCTACTGTCTAAATTGTTATTAATCGTACTATTTTTTTTATCTTTATTAGCCATACTATGTTTGTTTATTATTGTAATTGTTCTCCTTCTCACTCAAATCTTTTTTTTGTTTGGTGCTTAACGTTTCCTATTATTCCATCTTTTAAGTCAATATAAAGATCAAATTTACTTTCCGATCACTCTTATACAACATCTTGTGCTCAATCAATCAAAACAAAGGTTCTGCATTTCGTTATAACTCTGGTGACACTTTTGAAGTGTCACCATGGTATTATTTAACGTAATTCCACTGTTGTGATCACCAATCAGTAGTAAGTAATATTTGCTTGGATTTTCCAAATATTTCTATAATTTGTGTGGTTGGTTATCACTTGTGTAACTAAATGCCGTTCATCTTCCGTAATCTCGAGGGAAAGGCTTCATACCTTGTACCACACGACTAAGTTACCTGTTCATTTTCCTGCTTGTATTAACATATCTGATCCATATTTTCTCGCCCATTTCCATCACCTCTTTTTCTTATAATCCTCATAAATCATTTACATCATAGTATTACACACTTGCTCCTTGAAATACTATCTATCTATCTCTGCAACATCTTATTTTCATATTTCTAATCCAATAGCTCCATTGATCTAACCACCTCCAAGATGCCTAGTAACTGCAACTATACTTCTGAATCTGACTTGTTGGAGCCTTCTACCGATGCAACCTCAACTCCGAACACTCCTGAACCTGTGGATGTGTATGAATCCTCCAAACCCAAAATCTCCAGCGAAGACTATGAATCAACCTCGGAAAGAGGGGTTATCACTCATGACGATGTTACCATCTTGGGCGATAGTGAACCTGAAGTCATATCTTCAGGTTTAGTCAATGTTGAACCACGTCACGACACCGACTCTTCCAAAACTGCTGAATCTGAAAACTCTGGTGACTCTGCCTCCGACGTTACTGGACCACACAACACATCATACTCTACCAATAGTGGGCCTGAATTCCCTTTGACTATGCTACGATATGACCTGAAGAAGCGCAGTGCGGCTTTTCTTTACCGCTTCACTCCTCTGGATGATGGAGACCACTTACCATTCTCACCTTACGATCCAATTGGCCTCAACAACATGAAACAATCCTTTGTTATGTATATGTGTACTACCTACAATCAATCAGTCTATAATCGAGATACATACAATTGGACTGTTCAAAATGTCGATATCGAGAGTAAAGAAATTCCTGACGCAATGGTGGCCAAGTTTCATCAAAACTGGAAACACTCTTTAACTCTTGGACGAAAAGTAGCCCTTGAGCGAGCTCAGTCCAACCTGTATGTCAATATGATGTTATCTCGATTTCAATTTGCTCTCCAAGCTCTTTGGATGTCCAAAAAGGTCCACACCGTTGAAGATATCACTACAAGAAAGATAACATTTTCTGGGCAGAAAATTAAATTATTGATACACAAAAATATTGAGAGGCCAGGAGGAGAGCAAAAAATGAATAAAAATATGCATCTTGTTCCCTGCGTTGAGAACTTCACTCTGCATATTTTTCCGTATTTTTACAGTCCATATTGATAAGTGTACTAACAATAAACCTTCACAATCATCCAATTACAACCTGTAACAAGCACTGAAATTTGGCTCATTAGTGTTTAGAGAAACTTTTGATTTCTGAAAATACTCATAACTTTTTCAATTCCGGTCCAAAACGCTCAATTTTGGGTGCATTGGTAAGCTGGAATTGTCCTCCAAATAGTTCATAATAGGACCACACAGCATGCTGGTCTGCTAAAAAAGATATCATCTTTTTTATACATTTGTACATACAGATCCATAGAATGATTGTCATACTAGCTACATAGTTTTTGATCTTATGAAAGTTCGAGAGGAAGAGTTCAGCTTTCTAATGTACTTAAAATCGAGTGTTTTGAGGCAGATTTGACAAAGTTATAGGTGTTTTCAGAAATCAAAAGTTTCTCTAAACACTAACGAGCCAAATTTCAGTGCTTGTTACAGGTTGTAATTGGATGATTATGAAGGTTTATTGTTAGTACACTTATCAATACGGACTGTAAAAATATGGAAAAATATGGAGAGTGAAGCTCTCACCGCCGGGAACAAGATGCATATTTTTATTTATTTTTTGCCCTTCTCCTGGCCTCTCAATATTTTTGTGTATCAATAATTTAATTTTCTGCCCAGAAAATATTATCTTTCGTGTAGTGTATGCATAAGAAACGTATCTTGCATCAACAAAGTCTAGGTCTCAAGGTATTGAACATTTCTTTTGATCTTTTGCTCAGCTCAGATACGAAAGCAAAAACTGAAAACCCTGTTCCAATCAGGTTCCGTACGTATGCCTACTCCAGACTATTGGAAGTGCGAGCTGTGGATGGCTTCTATGTGAGACAGCTCATTCCCCAAACAACCGATATGTACATGAATACAAGTTAACCCCCGAAAGCCACGGACCAGAGGACCCATGGCAAGACTTGATAATGGCACTCATACATTTTACACTCCATAGCACCAAGGGTTGATCATTGATTGCTCAGGCAGATTGTGACGCCAAAGGACTTTTGTCAAACTTAGTGTGTTTTTCCAGAGGGTAAGTTATTTCCTATCACAAATAGCCAAGTGATTAATTTTGTCTCATTATATATTGTTTAATATATTTACAGAGTTATCCACGCTTCAAACCCAAGAGAGGACAAGCAAAGCATAGTAAAAAGAGCTTTCATTCATTTTGAGGATCAACACGAATGCAATGAGATTTGCAGAATGTTGCACTTGGAATAGCTGATGTCAATTATCAGTCGCATCACCACATTCAATATTGATTCATGTTGTGTAGTTGGTATTTTATGAAACAATTTTTGCGTCATTCAAGATCAATATGACGTTAGATGATCCATTATACATCATCATCAAATCTCATTTAGATTGTACTTTATATTCTTCCCGTATTTTTTTGAGTATTCTGTTATGTATAAACGTTGTTTGTATTACACACTGAGCTTCTTTCCGTATGGCAACATTGATTATTCAATAACAATGAATGTTGTAACGTTATTGGTATATTACTCTGTACATCATGATTATAATTTTTTAATATTTAATTTCTTCACCGTCTCACTTTTTAGTTGTGGTCTGTTTTTTTTGATCTATATTTGGTGGTCCAGCTGTGAATTAAGCGCTTACAAACCACAGTTGGATGTGTTGACATTTTATGATGACGTTGTTCTATATCTACGAACTTGAATTGAAGCGCATTTTTTGTATGAACAATTATTTATTAATGTTCTCCATTGAACTTTAACAAATGAGTCATTTATAATCAACTAAAAGAATGTATCATTTATAGAACGTATCAATATATGTACAAAGTATCTACAGTACAGAGCTGAAATGATAATAGTAATGTGAAGTAAGACAACTACTTAGACCGCACCAACAACCAATAAGACAAGGTAAGAATTGAAACTAAGACGTGGCCAAATAAAACAAGAAAAATAACTATATCCACGTGCTACAACACACTTCATACAAAATAATATGATTGGTCCATAATTTATAAAAATTATTGAAAGGGCATGTCAAGATTTGGATACTTAAAGGTTAGGAAAGTTAGAATGGAGATATTGAAACGTAAATAACATGAATGAAAAGAAAATCATTGTCGAGCACGCTTGGAAGTTCTGTTGTCGACATCATCAAAATAATCCTTTGCTTGTTGGACCGTGTGGTCACCATGTTTTTCAACATACTCAGTCAAACGAGTGAGTCCAATTCCCTTCAGCAAAGCCCGATAAGTTGATACAGTTGATGAGGCGTATGTGTAAGAAGATTGAAATTGCTCTTCCCACGCAACTTTCATCAAAGTCTGTTTGCGCATAGATCTTTCAAAAAAAGTAACCATGGAGTGCATGGTGACACCTCGAGGCCACTGAGCACGACGGGATTTAATTGGTGAAGAGCTGCCTTCATTACCGGTGGTTGCTTTGACAACAGCGTCATTGATAAGGTTCATCGTAGCCACATCACGTTCGTCTTCTGAATCTGAGATATGTGTTGGAGATGAAGAAGAGGTGGTGTTTAGTTGTGAATGGATTGGGGTGATCGAGATGGGTGTACGCGATGGTGTTGGGGTGACTGAGAGGGATGTACGTGATTGTTGGGTGGGTGTGATCATAGGACGTATGTCCATAGCAGCCTTCTCCGATATGGGTGCAACGGAGGCCAGATGATGATCGATACCTTCACAGTTCGAAGGTTTGACGTTGGGAAGTAGAACTAGAATCTTCTTACAATCTTTTGGATACAATTCTTGCGTAGACATTTTGATGTGGACCTAAATCATTTGATTGTCAGGTATATCATGATTATAAGTGAATTAACCCAAAAACAACATACCCAGCCGTGTTCTTCATGATTCCAAACCCTAAGACCTCCCTTCCAATTTGCCCCAAGTCGTGACTCCACAAGAGATAACAACTCTTCTGACTCGTCCAGCGAAAATAAAGGCCATTTGTTAGCCTGTACATGCCACGTTTCGGAACCAAACGGGTCTTGCTATAATATACAAATGGTATGTGATCAGAGAATGTTGTTTGGTCAATGTATATGTAAGATAATTTACCTCGTTGCCGGGCCATACCACCATAGTAACTAGCTTCTTAGCTAACGCAAGTGCATCGTTTTGGATTCTCTCTTCGGCTTGTTTGTTGATCGACACGCTTCGAAACTTACTTAATTCAGTTGGGCTGAGACGGCGGGTGAAGGTACGTCCTGCTTGGGTGCTAGGTGCCAAGTCCTCTGATGGTTTGGTTGTTGGATGAGTCGATTGGTTTTCATCATTCACTGCAGTGTTTGATGAAACCCTGGAATGTGGCGTTGGAATAGCGGCAGTGATCAAAGGTGTAGGTTGTTCGGATTGTTGTCCTTCAATTCCATCGGTGACAGCTTCCCTTGTCTTCTTCCTGGCCTGAGCCTCATGCGGCAAACATGCTAGAGTACCAAGTTTGTTGCAACACTGGATTTGGAGATAAAGAAAAGTGTCAGCACTTCAGCGTATGGGATTTGATGTAAATGTAAATCACATACGTCAAAGCAGGCCTTGTGTGGGCAACCTCGGTTCATCCGGGTATTATGAGCAGTAGCAAACACCGCATTCACACCTTGGCACACTTCTTTACTTATGAGTGGTGTTGGTTGCGTTGGATGAGGATTAGGTAGAAAGGCGTCAAGCGTAAGTTGTGGATCCACCACCATTGTAGGTAGATAAGTTGGTAATTGATAGTTGTTAATAAGGTGGTTTGGAAGTTCAAAATCTTGATGTCGTCTGTTGTGGGCAAGCAGGTCGTGATTATAGCTGGCCTTGTTATAGTACCGATAATACTTTTGGTCAAAGTTGCACTAATTATATTTTCAATTGGTTCAGCTGTGATTGCTGTAGCGCTTAATGAACTCCGCGGAAATGATACTCACCCTTGTTCCAATTAGGTGTTTGAGGTGTTGGGCCTTTGGTTCCCAATATATTGTGGTGTGCGGTCCGTATCTCCGGCATAGCATTGAGGTACAGCGAACACCTGTGCTTATGCCCCCAATGGGGGGGGTAAGGAAGCAGTTGATGTGGGTTAAGTGGTGTGAAACTGATGCTTTTACGTGCTTTATTACAGATGTTTGAATGTGTCATGGTAAGTTGTCTCTAAGAAAGATGGTGTTGATAGTATTGATACGAATGATTGATCAAACCAATGAGTCCTTCTCTTAAATGCAATCTAATACTCACAACGGTAATCCCGAGTGTTTAGCTTTTATTGATCAGCGGTCACAGTGCGCTGATCATCATTTTATCCTTCTCTTTCTTTGGTTTGTCATCAGTGTTTGTGCGAGGTTTTGATCCTCCCATTCTGGTGCAGATTTCTGGGTCTGGGGCGTATGTACACCATGACCGTATAGCGCAGGTCAAATGACAATGCTTTGGCCTGTTAGATAGACGATTGATATCTACGATCGATCAATATCCATTATCTATCAAGGTTACTTTTGGAATCTTTATCATATGATTGATTGATACCTACGAAAGCCATAATTAGATTTTGCCGCTTCCGTACATGGAGTAAGGGCATTACCAATGACTGATTATCTCACGATCTTTTTGGGAATTGGTAAATGGATGCTTGTGACCGGAAGAGGCATGCTGCGGTGACTGCGCAGTATATTTACAAATGATAATCTGTCCGGGCGGCGGGCGGGAATTGGGAATCACAACTTTGCTTATGCTCACGGCACTGCCAGCATAGATGCCTCGGGTTGAGAAATCCGAGGCATCATCGGAGGCAAATCCTTGGACAAACCTTGTCCGAGGTTTTTGCCCGAGGTATTTTTTTGCCCTGAGAATTACCTCGGATCAAAACCTCGGGAAGCTTCTGTCCGAGGTTTTGCATCCGAGGATACCTCGGATTACAAAATCCGAGGTAAATACAGCCGTTCCAAGAAAGGTTGACAACTTTTTTTTGGAGAAAGTTGTCTCCGCAGCGGCTAAAACCAAAGACAAAACTTGATTACAGGTTTATTATTTCCTGTATTCTTCCAATTAGCGGAGAGACAAAATCAAGTGAGGGACAAAACCCGGGTTTTGCACATTTATGGTTCTCAAACCTATGCAAAAATTTGTGCAAGTTTTGAGCAACTTCTGTGCAAGACATGAATAGAACTTGCACGGAACTTGCACGGAACTTGCACGTCGGTCTCGCACGGTTTTCGTACCAGTTGGAACAAGATAGCTGGGGTTGTCAAAAAATTTAATGCGCAAGATTGGTGCAAGAAATCTTGCACGGATCTTGCACGTCGGTCTTGCACATTTCTTGCACAGGTTTGAGAACCATAATTGGCGAGATTTCCAAAAAAATCAATCTTTGTTGGAACAGCTGTATGTTGGTGGTGCGGGGTTTGAGGTTTGTCCTCCACCCTCCTCTCTCGTCCATCGTACCTCTCTCGTCCATCGTACTGTCAGGGTTCTCCCGATGGCCTCTCGTTCTCAAGTCTCTCGCCAACGGCCCGAGGCTCGAGCGCCTCGGGCCGTTGGCGAGGGACTTAGTTAAGTTTGAGCCAGGCCAGGCCGTAACAGATTCTCCCTCCTCTAATACCGTTTTTGAGGTGAAAATCTCCTGAGTCAGACCATCACATGAAACTTGAGCCCAACTTTAGGATGATGGTATAGTCGCCTATCAAAAAAACCTAGCATTATGGATTGTTATTGTCGAAACGGCATGAGGGTGTTACAACTTGGATTTACTCGAAGCATATCAGCTAGCGTCCGACATTGGTGATAATTATAATAGTGAATTAGACTGCCGACTCTCTCCCTTACAATTTGAGGGATATAGTCTCACCTTAGGGGTAGTGCGAACACCGCGGTAGTGCCCACAGCTTGACGCGTCTCATCATCAATGACCACACGCCAGGAACAGGTATAAATACTGCTGACAGAGGGATGACTATGTATACTCCATTCACACCACTCAGCTTCTTTTGCTTACTTCATCATTCTCAATCAATAACACTCTCTAAACAGACACTCTTTTGAAAACCAAACCATCAATCAATTTTGCTTGAGTCATCAAACTACTTCAACGTAAACCTCATAATCTCCCCAAACAAACCTCTTCAAGATGAAAATGAGATTCCTCTTAGCTTGCTTTTTATCACTTTCACCTATCCTCGTGATGGGTTATCTAGGGGACGCAACACCATCAGCTGAGAGGCTCATTGTTGAGCTGACGACGTACCCCACCAGATTCCAGGACACGCGTCGTTTCCATGGAAAACCATCCGCAGTTATCGGTTGGATAAATCTCGGTTGTAAAGGTTCGGGAGAGGGTATGTGTGACCAACTCATCAACGAGTCAACACCCGTCTAATACAAATTCTTGTACTCTATTGCGTTCGATCACAGATTGGGAGGCTGTAATAAAAGCCTATAAAAACGATCCTAGAGTCCGTGGCATAACGATAACTCCTATTAAGTTAGCGAAATGGGTTCACGATGATGCACAAGTGGAATATGACTAACCAGAAACATCATAATGAGTCCGTACTACATATATATCTACAACTCTTCGGTCATCCAGCCAATCGTTTGAAACAGAAATGAAGATTTTACAAGATATCTATTATTTAAATTCATAAACTTTTATATCAATCAAATCAAGTTGAACCATCACTTTTCTTACCTTACGTGCAGTCTTCACATGTAATTCCCAATTCACTACTGATTTGAACTCAATAATTAATTATTGCTAAAGGGCTTTGGTGAGGATAAAGGCCAAGCCAGAGATTCAGATCTCGGGGACAATCAGTCCACCTATCAGCGCTATGATCAAGAATGCATTTGATCATGCATCCAAGTTGATCATTTGGAGAAGAGCTTATCATCATCCTACGGAGTTGAGCTTCATAAGTACCACTCATCAAATCCAGTCATACTGAGTCAGCTTTGTGTTTGGTAAGAGTTTAAAACATACGTAACATAGCAAGCAATCTTGATGAAGTGGAGCCCATCAACCTAGAGTTAACGTGAGCCGTCATGCGCGCCAGCCGTGTCATCCAACTTTCGGAGATCGTTCCCCATGCAGGCGGGGTTGAGTGCCTGCTTCTTGAAATGCGCGATGAGGAGCGATGTCACCAGAGATGTTACATAGTTTAACATCTTTTGAATAACTCCCCCTTGACCCCCCTACAAATCATGAAGAAAACTTGGGATCAGCGCGGTCGCCGGCTGGATTGTTAAGTGCGTGACTTTGATCATTCATGGGTTTCTGATCTTTGATTTTGGCGAGGTCTGTATGGGTTTATAAATAAGGGGTATCATTCCAGCTACATTGGATTTTGGATTCCACCCTCAAACACTTTTTGAAGTCACCGCTATTCAATGATGGTAAGCCAATCTAATATGCATGTACCACAACAAACTAACGTTCATTCATCTGCTTTGACAATAATCATTCTAGTCCAACTATGTAGTTTGATCCATCCAACGGCACCACTTATCATTGAGAGCTTTTTGAATTTCATAAATCATTCTCCTACCCCTTTTCATGCGGTATCAAACGCTATAAAGTGAATAGAATCAGCTGGATTTGAATGGTCAAAAGAAAAGGACGATTGGACTTCACGATTGAGAAAAGGTGGAAAATATTATGTAACATGGTGATCGAATCTATTGTTCATCTCAATTGGGTAGTTTGTACTGATCGTGTTTGATTCTTTCGATGGTCCAGGAATCAAAGCTCTATCATTTGAGTACCGGAATTTGAAGAAAGCAAACGTTATCGGCTTGATTGAAATAGGTCATTTGATCCTAATTCTGTGTACTCGATTTGTCCACTCTTTCGGATATTTCAGTTGCTTTTGCCATAGATGGAGCGTAGGTTGGAAATGGGTTAGCTATGTAGTAGGATGTCACACTGATTCGTCAGTAGATATTCCTCGGAGTAATGCAAGTTTTCTTATCATACCTTGTTTGGAGTGGGATTTTAAACTGTCAGATCTTCTCTGTCTTCAGGCCTTGTTTTACAATCCGACCCGCATCCAGAAGGACTAAATTAGGATATTCAAGTAGGTGTAGAGACGTAAGCAGTGGTTTTATGAATAAACCCCATAAACTCTGCTTTGGATCTTATTTTAGAAAAATCACTGATGACTCTGCATCGTATGGCCAATGAAGAAATCGGATCAGTCTCCAATCATGGTGCCGAGTCGGATTTATTGGAAGCAATCTTGACTCGCATCTCTAGTGCATTTGCTGAAACCCCTTCTCCGGCATTGACTGAAAGGACAGGGGTTCGTCCCGATTTTGATAGATTCTTCCTTTTGAACTTCACTGGTGCAATTCCGGGTGGTTTGGTTGATTTTATTTGCTAATTTATCTCTTTGATCCTCTAGACATACTATTCATCCATATTTTCCTGAGAAACATGAAGAGAATCACCGCCCGTCTATTAATAAAGGTCCCGCCATTAAAACAAAATGCTAAACAGAAATATGCCAGGTCAGCGTGCAAGCCATCTTTTTCACATTTGTTATTCTAAGAAAGTTGAAGCCTTCATTAAAACCATCTTTTTCGATCTTTAGCGCAGTAGTGACCACTTGTCTTACGTCAAATTGCTACACTTGCCGAAGTAAGCGCATACAATAATCATTTGAGACTGAAGATTGAGAATCTGAGTGAAACGGGAGTTTGTTTCAGGTTCCATTACAAGAGTACGAAGTTAGAAACGACATGGCGTGTGGCAAGTCGATTTCAACTCCTTTTTAATGATCTAAAAGGTTATTCAATATCTTATTATCTCATTGTCAACAGGTTCTACGATTGGTGATCGAATTTTGGATCATGAAGCTGTCTTCCGACACGGATCCAATGTCGACGTTTCATCCCAGGTCCACTGGTATCTAAGATTGGTTTACGTACCGTAGATATTGGTTGTCCACAGTGTAAGTTATTTTGACCTCATGAAGGCGGATAGTCAGAACAAAAGATTGGTTTATATTTAGCTGGCGTTGAATTTGTTTGGATGGGTAAGTATCTATGCACTCTATCAGAGAACAAGCTAGTTGCCTTGATATGATTTATCTTGTGGAACTCTTTAAGACTTTTTCCAAAAACTTTGAAAAAGTTGATGTGACACTTTCAACTGGTGAGTGAAGGGTTCATGAATTTGGTATGTATTCTTCCTACTTTGTTTAGGTCTTTTTAGGTATCTTTTCTATATCCATTTCTTGCTAGCACTGAATCTTTGTCGACTAATCTGTGCCTATGGTTCAAAGCATCCTACACTCCTTTTAGCTGATAAGAAGATTGTGAGATATAGTGGGAACCATCAAGAGCCACTTGATCAGATAGTTTTTCAAAAAAAATGCCAAAGTTACAAATATCACTCAATTCAAAAATCAAGATATTTTTGGGGTCCTCTTGGTCAAGGCTATTCAAAAATATCCTAGAAGACCACCTTTCAAAGTTCTTTTTTTGATTTTTGACGGTCAAGGGTGCAACAGATGAAAATCAGATTGTTTGTTGTAATTACAAATCAACTGGTCTGTGGCTTCTTGCCTGGTGATGGTTCCCATTATAGATAGAGCTCTTGTGGTGAAATCAGAATTGGAGACAGAAAGGTAATGTTCTTACAGTCTAATGGCATTGGTCATGGTCTGTGTTCTGATACTGACATGTATTACATCCAAATTGATATTAAAGAATTTGCTTCTATGCAGGGGGTCATGGCTCACTATGGATGTATGATACATGGAGATTTGATGCATATGGATAAATTAAAGGTATGTTAGTTCTGGCCCAGCCTGCAGTGAATTCAACTAACATATAGTTGGATTTTTTGAAGATGTTGATATCTTCATGATTTAATAGATACACAAACCTACAGAAGCTTTGATGATGAGGCATTTCAATGGGTTTTGAAGGATTCAGGAAACCAGTGTAACATAATGATTGGTGAAGAAGGAATTTGTGATACAACAGGCTGGTTTTATTGTGTTTGTGTTTGTGTTTGAATCTTTTTTGTGTCCAGCCCTATCTATCCTGCTTTGGTGTTGGGAGCTTTATCAGAGAAGTTAGGTATCATTCCAAGATGATGTCTTATTCACCGTGCCCGCTGGTAGGGCCCCCAGCGGCGGGGGCCTTCTGATTTGCCAATTTGTTTTGTCTTTGTTTTGACTTTGTTTCAAACTGCTCACAACGGTGTAGGCACCAACAATTCTGAACCTTAGCATCTTGAGCTTCCTAAAGACTGTGTCACTATTTAGCTTCATCAGTGGTCGGGATTCCTCAGTTACTTATGTACCTCAACATCCACATGACCCCCTTTCTTTGTTGAGAAAAAGAGTGTTTTGGCAGATTGGACGACAAATCTCAAGACCGTGATAGAGAGTGTAGTCACCGACATCGTGAGCATAGTGAGAGGGACAATGATAGCGTATGTATACATCTCTACTTGACTATCTGTCTCATTTGCTTACCTGCAAACATCTTGTCACAGGGTAAGAGCAAACGGTCAGAGTGTCATGAGTGCATCATGACCTTATCATGTTTTATCAAGTTCTACTGAGAAACCGACTGGATGTTTCCTCTTGACCACTATTACTGCTCCCCAAACACCCCATTGATTGATCTCCCGGTTGCCTTTTACTCAATCTCACTTCTCAATTCAATCATAAATTGTATGTTACCCTCTTGTCAGTGCGAGTGCTGTCAGATGAGCACACTGTGGCTGATTTTATCTACTGATGTCTTTAAAAACACACTCAAAGGCTCCAAATAGAGTATAAAGGGTTTGAATACATATAAAATCTTTCAATATGATCACAAAATCCACTTGTAGACTGTCAGATGAGCAGGCTACAGTCAATGTCAGATATCAATTGATATCATCAGTAGGACAAAATCTACGAGCTCAATTGTCAGGCTGGGGAGAATGATCTTGGTATTGAGATTGTTCAGTAATTTCCTGAGGTGTTGAGACAGTTCAGTATTGTTTGAGAAGTGTCAAGATAGTTCAACACATTCAGCAGCTACCCATAATGGAGTTCTACTGAGTGTTTTGTTGCGCTTATTCTTTGCAAAAATGAATAAAAATCTTAATAACCTACAATCACTTGAAGGCCCCCAACGCCAGGGGCCCTACCAACGGGCACGGTGATTATAGCTTACAATCAGTAGATTGTGTAACATGTCATACACTAAACTGAAAAAAGCAGAATTCAGAATATATATTATATGTGATGAGATCCATTCATTTGAATCAGATACCTTCTTGAACCAAATTTCATTCAAGAAAGTAGATTGTTGTATCTCATGCTACCTCCTTTTTTGATCCGTTTAACACAAAATTCAATTTCTATGCTCTAAGATCAACTCAAGATCATTATGCTTTATGACTGTGTCACTTGAGTAGGCATCCTATTGTCCTTGTCAAATCATCATGGTGAAAAGACAAGAAAGTGTTTGAACTCACTTGGATTTGCAGATCAAATCAGATGGGTCACTACCTTCACATTATGGAAGATTTAGTAGTTGAACTTGAGGCAAATGTATATGTGTCATTCAATTTCGTGCCTCAAAGCACAGGATAGTTAAAGGTGAGAAGTACACTGAGGATTAAATTGAGAGTGTTTCTGATGATATCAATGACCAACAATACTAAAAGGTGGATGTTTTTCAGTTTTATTTTGAATAAACACATGATTTGGATGGCTTTGGTGTAAGATGGATCCAAACAATTTTTATTTTAGACTGTGTCAATACAGTTGCACCACAAGGGAAGCCTAAAGAACCATCATACAAGGCTTTTCCATCAAGATCTTCCATAAAGGTCTGAAATCTTAAACCCAAGGTGTATGATTTTATGCTCAATTTTTTGACTTGATCTGGCATTTTGTAATGGTTTGGTTGGCAACTGAATTTACTCTAATATTCTTGCAAAGGCGAAAAAGGTTGACTTGGAATGTAACCCATCCTCTTTGATATTATTTCTAAAAGAGCTACAATTGAATGAGTTCTACTTCAAGGTCATCAGGGAAAACACAATGATAGGGAGGACTGTACATTGCTGCCGCTGGCATCCAGCAACAGGAGGGGATGGGAAGGGGTGTGGTATAGAGACCTTGCTGCCTACGAGTTTCAGAAGGTTTCTGATGTGGTGAGAACAATCATTGGGAGGAACAGTGGTTATCATGAACATAGGTGATGTCACTTACCCTGACGGAAGGTTGATGATATCCTGACCCTAAGCCCAAACCCTGACCTCCTAACGGTTTCTGTGGAAGATGCATTTGAGACTACAGTTGAATCAGTCTAGTCACAGGGGCCAAAACAAGAGCTCACATAGAGGTGAGCATGAAAAGCTCCAGGTTTTCTCCAAGTTTTCTACTTTTTTCCTTCCAAAACTGACTGTGTTCAGCTCATGTTGATCATGGAATCAGACATGAGCTACATCAGCTGAGAGCTGAGCAGATGATCCAGGGTTCCTCAGGCTTTATTGCTCAGCCAGCTCTGGCTCGCAGCGCTGCCAACCGCATTCTGAGCAGCGCAGCTCAAATCTAGCTCGCTCGGGACAGGTAACTTGTCAGCCCCGAGCTTTTGCAAAGCAAAAGCCAAAAACGCTTCAACAGAAAGATTAAAAATAAAAGAAATAAAAAATAATAATTACACCTTGACAGTCTAGTTTCAAAGACTGAAAAACTTTACTTGATTTTTACAACCATTATAAATTGTACATCTCATATTTGAATAATGAAGATAAAAACCCACACCTTGCTGTCTAGTCTCAAAGACGGAAGACAAATTGACTAACAGAAAATAACAAACTCCTTATCTAAAGAATAAGCAAGTTCGCCTTAGAAGATTGGTAACAAGACCTAAATTAGAAGTATTGGAAACATATTCTTTCCGAAAGCGTAAGTATTCCAAACATCAGTTTCCAAATACGGACACCAACATTCCTTGAGACTCACTCACGTGGTCAAACTGACAACAGAGCTAACAGAACCACGACTCGTCCTTCTAGGTATCAACGCTACCAGCAGGAACCACGAGTCAGCCTATCCAAGTTGAAGAATATAAATAGCCAAGACTTTCAGATCCAGAGAGGTTTAGGCACCTTCTTCCCACAAACTAATCTTGACAAGATTAAGAGAAGATTCAAAACCTTTTACGCACTACTTACAAACCTGACTAAGCGAGTATTCAAACTGTTTATATCAAAAGACCTAAAGTAAGCAATCTACTTTAAAACTTCATCTTTTCTATTATAAACCCTCCCTCTCGAACCATTCCTTACTTGGATACAAGTTTGTGATAAAAGTTATCTAGCTACCCTATTCTTAGGATAGCAACATCTTGGTCACGCACCACTGGTTCTGCAATGCATAGTTGACAGGATCCCCGTGTCTAGTAACACAGGCATTTATTGGAATCTTTCCTTTAAAATAACCTTCCGGTTCAGAGCTTGACCACCTCTATACTGTATCTTGACAGTGAGCCGTTACCCATTCCTAATTACTCCAGTAATTATATTATTAAGCTATTTACCTATATCGTATTCCTTTCTGTAGGATAATATACGTTAGCATTCTATCTTACGGACCCAGTAAGATACTTGTCGGGACCTAAAAAGTGAGCAATTAACTATACTCACTTGCTTTAAGTATAGCCACCCTGACATAACTTTAAGGGTAGCAAGATAAAAACCATGAGGAAATTCGGCAGCTGACAGCGGAACTTTTGTCCAGCAGCACTTCACAGCGCTGCAGACAAAAAAGAAGTGATTTTTTCATTGATGTATGGTGTATAAAAGGCTGTAGAGAAACATGAAAACAACTAGTATTGTAAAAGGATGTAGAAGAGTGTAAGGAGGAAACAATGTATAAGAGGGTAGTAAATTGTTTGGATTGGTTTCTTAAGAACTCATGGATACTTCAGTTTCATTCTTATATCTGAAGATTGGACATCAGATTGGATGTATTTCACTTAAACAAAGGGGTAATGAAATTTCTAAAACGGATTCTTGTTGAAAAGTAATTTGAGATTCTTTTATTCTTACACGTTGTGGTGATCTATTTATGATATCAAGCAAGAAAATTAATCATCATTACTTTACCAAGTTATTAGAAACCTTCAGTATAGCAGGAAATTCGAAATTCAGGTTCTCAGATCAATTGAAGCTCTTAGAGGCTTATGTATACTTATTAGCTCAATATTATGTCATCTCATTTCAAAAATATTCTTAAGATAAATATAGTTTACTTACAAAGTTATTACAAAAAGACAGAAAAAGACAAGATAGGAAAAATTCAAAAATATAGGTGTAAAAGTTGGAAAATGGTTTTTAGGTTATTTATAATTAAGTTATGGGTTTTATAAGGTCAGAATATGACAGAACAACACTTTATTATACAGTAACAATTTTAATCTTCAAGGTTGATAAGGGAAAACAGAAGTTATTAGCAGAAAGGTACTTTTTCGAAGTTGGTAAACAAGGGTTATGCGTGTAGTTTACATATGTAATGGTGGCAGTAGTGGAAATTAAGGTTGCCAAGAGGATTTTCCGGGATTTTTAAGGTTATAGAAGATGATGTCATATTACATGAGCAAGAAAAAGAGAGTAACAGCTGTGAAAAGTGAAGAAAATGGGTGAATTTCGTCGAAAATGAAGGTTTTCAGCTAATTACATATGTCAAATGACGTCAGATTAAGTTGGTAGATAGCTCATTCAACGCAGAAGAGTGGATTACATAATGTACAAACTTTAAATCATTGGTAACGGAGGTTTATGTAAAACGTTATAAGGCAAATAAGAAATTGGTGTGAACCTCAAATTTACAGTCACAAGTCAACATGTAACACCAAAAACCTTAACTTCACAACTCAATATCTTACTCATCACTCATCAGAGATAGGTCATATGGGTGTCATAAATGATCAGTATCACGAGGGCTACAAGATGCACTATAGTAGATCAAAAGTGGACCACATCTGAAAAAATTCGTAATCTCAAAAATTGGTTTGCAGCTAGTTTACAAGGAAAAAAACACCTGTATTCATCTTAAGAAGTGCTGCACATTAAATCATTGCGTCATTGATCACTTTTGGCTGTGAAAATTACATCATACATTAGTAACAAGATCATTACATTGCGTCATTACATGGCTTTTAGGGTTCTTTAGGCGGATTTGACTGGTTTTTGAGGCTGTTGACTGTTGTAGAGGTTGTTACATATGGATATAAGTACTCTTTGATGATTTTGGGATTGTTTTTCCCTTTTCTGCATCTTATACCTTTGTTGTAGTGTTATAAATCATCATTTATTTACTATATTTGTACTAAGATCACTTAAATCCGCCGCTTCAAAGCAAGGAGAAATTTATTTACGTGTGTTAAAGACTATAAGTCAAATTGGGAATAATACTTAACAACAGTATTGCTAGTAATAACATAGTGTGTGAACTTTTTGTGCTTAAAATTGGGAATAATACTACAAAACAGTATTGCTTTATTTCTCTGGTGCCTTTTATCTTTTTCTCTGTTATCACAAAGTGGTCAGCAAGTGCCCTTGTGCTGGTTTCTTTGAAGAAGGAAGTCTTTAGGCAACTTCTACTATATTACACGTAGTAGATTATCCCTTCTTAGGTGTTTTAAAGCTCTTGTTGAGCTTTAAATACTACAACGTTGGTTGATCAATAGCTGCCAAGGTAACAAGATATAAATGACAGGACAACAGCTACCACTACGTGTTGATGGTGATAAGCCAATCATAAGTAGGTGATCTTTATAATAGACTACCATGATCCACAACATCAGATGTTAGATTTGAGAAAGGGGCAGGTGAAGGTAACTATTATCCTTATGAGATTGTAAAGCATTTTGAGATTCAGACCAATAATGATGGCAGTTATGTGGATTTAAACAAATTGATCTCTGAGAATTTAAATTGACTGATTGAGCTCTTGGTCTTTGATAAAATGATTTGAGCTTTATTCCAATTCTCGAGTTGGAAGATACTTCACTTAATTCCATTCGTCTTGATACATTTTTATTCTCAGCGTCATCTCTAATCATCTTTGCTTCTATCCATAGAGTTAAGTGAGAGGTGAGATGGTATACAATCTAGCATAAGATAGTCAACAGTTAATTATTTCTTTGTCTTTGATAGTATTACTATGTGATTTAACAAAGTTAGAGCAATGAAACGAAATCAAGCAAATCCTGAATTGTGAACGTTGATGATGGTGAGAAGAAAAAACAAACAAGCCAAGCTGATTGACTCGGTGGTGTTATATTGAAAGCAACTCGGCGAGAGAGGTAGATACAGATGATGTTGGTGATTAGAAAACTATTAATATGAGTGAGAGCGTTGAGAGTTTGTTGAGTAATCAAAGGTTTTTTAACAAGAAGACATATATAAGTCTAAGATCACAAACTGATACAAGTCAATAAGACTGAGAGCTAGGATTTGAAGAGGAGATTACTTACCTTTATGTTATCTTGCCAATGTTTTGTCCATGGTTGTGATTGAAAAGTCGTGACTTGTTGATCAAAAGGCTAGATTATAGTAGGTATGTGCCAATTGCGCCAGAATCTGTAGGTCAGCAAAGAATCAAGGGAGGATGAGATGACAGCTGAAAGCGCAGCGCCCCAATATTGTGGGCCCCAAATGTCAGCGGGAGGCGCAACGCCCCGGGTCTGAGCTTCCCGGGCAACAAAACGGCTACACCTGGTGCTGCGCTCCGCGCTTCTGGCTACGCTGCAAGCCAGATTTGGTTCAGCCAAAGAGCCTGAGGGAGGGCTACCTGATCCGCTCAGGTCACCTCAGACCCTGACTGAATGCTCAGTCTGTACAGACAATTTCAAATGCTTGATTACAATGGGCACAATTCTGATTATGTGGAGGTGTGCCAGCTGATTCCTGAGTACTCATCTATGCTCAAGGAATGCTCATTCAAGATGAAGATGAGCATGTTGATCATGTAATCAGACATGATCAACATGAGCTGAGAGCTGAGAAGATTAGCCAGGCTTCCTTGCCTTTATTGCCCAGCCAAGGAGCCTGAGGGAGGGCTAACTGATCCTCTCAGATCATCTCAGGCCCTGACTGAACGCTCAGTCTGCACAGACAATTTCAAGGGCTTGATTATAATGGGCTTAATTCTGAGTGTGTGGAGGTGTGCCAGCTGATTCCTGAGTACTCATCTATGCTCAAGGAATCCTCATTTGAAATGCTCAATCATGCTGAAGATGAGCATGCTTGAGCAAACTTGAGCAAGATGGAAGTTTTGCATGCTGATCACCTGAACACAACAAAAAATTGTGACATAAAAGGGTAGGCTGAAATGATTGTTTTTTTAACAAATATGGAAGGCTTTTCATGCTCACCTCTATGTGAGCTCTTGGTTTGGCCCCTGTGACTTGTCAATTCATGAAGCCCCAGCATTGGCGGAAAAAATGAACCCTTTTTTAAGGCATTTGGATTACAACTGAAAATGTTATTAACAATTGTGTCCTTGCAAATCATAATGGCAAAGTAATGCTAAATAGTGAAGATAAATGTGGGTATGGAAATTACTACATATGTGGTGAGTGTGATATGATAGTAAATTCATAAAGTGCTATTATGGGTGGAAAAAATGATCCACTTTCCAAGCATCTTGACCATAAACTGAGAAAGTTATGGGAAATCTCATCATTTGTACTCAAAACAAGGAGTTGTGTGGTGCTTGCACATGACACTTCATGCCACACTTCTGGGTCAAAATAACAAGATTTTCCATAACTTTCTCAGTTTCTGGGAAAGATGCGTGAAAAGTGGGTCATTTTTTCCGCTCAAGCTAGGGCTTCATGAATTTACTATCATGTCACACTCACCACATATGTAGTAATTCTCATGGCCAAATTTATCTTCAACATTCAGCATTATTTCCCTGTTATGACTTGCAAGGACACATTTGTCAATACCTTTTTCAATTGTGATCCAAAAGCCTTGAAAAATGGCTCATTTTTTCTGCACGTGTTAGCGCTATATGACTACACTAATACATCACACTCACCATATATGTAGTTATTCTCATCGCTGCATTTATACTCCCTGTCCGTACTATTCTGCATCATGATTTGCAGAGACACAATTGTTAATAACATTTTCAATTCAATCCAAATGCCTTAAAAAAGGGTTCATTTTTTCCGCCAATTCTGGGGCTTCACACATTGACAAGTATTTCAGACCCATCACATATGTAGCAATCCCCATAGCCACATTTATTTTCTCTGTCTATATACGAATGACACTGAGTGAAGTCCAGAATTTGACACAAATCTCTGAAAAAGTTGTTTATGATTAAACCGGTTTATGATACTGTCGTATGTTCTACTTTATAGCTTCGTTCATCTCAAGCAACTCGTCAAATCATCAAATTGGCCCCAAGCAACCCAGATAAGAAGTATAAGAAAGTTACCTTGATGGCGCCCGATAAATGCGTGGGCGGCTGAGATTAGGTCATTCAGGAAGCTTTCTAAACCGTGTCACTATCATCGAACCGAAATGCACTGATGAAGATCATGACTGTGACGATGAAATAAGCTTTCATGAAGGTATCTAGCTGCGCATCAAAGCGCACCCCTCAAGGCGGTCACGTGCCACTAGGAGCCAGCTACATACATGATACATAGTGACGTCAGGGGAGTCGATAAATGCTGAAGATCCAGAGCGTTGGGGTGAACGATTGCTCAGACTGGGCTTCACAATTCATCCTTCCATCCCATCAATTCATTTTATTTGCATTCGGCCTCACATCAAATCTATTATCTGGGGTGTTCTAGATGTCATCCTTCCTCAATGTCGTATTTGGGACACGTGCGAACCCTTCGAGCTCGTCTTCATCTACTACCAGCACCGAATCGCCTTCATCAAAAGAATCAAGAGTATCTCGTCATTTTCCTTCATCAGAGATCATCACTTCACTCAAAGAAGTCGGGGTTCCAATCTCGACCGTATCCGATTCTGATTGCGCAACATGTGCTGAGGCCTGCTCGGGACCTATGAATATGGAAGGTTATCCTTCCTCATTTGCCATCGATACAACTACTCCTTTGCTAGGTGCAATCAAGGATTACGATTATTTGATTCTCTGCAGTTGCGCTTCTTTCTCTACTTGAAACATCCCCCCTGTGAACTACTCATCGGAAGAGGAGACACTGAATATTCTGGTCATGCCTCTGGTCATGTCACATTCGGCCATCGGCTGATTTTGTCAACCTCAGGTAGCGGTAAAACAGATTGGCCGCATGATGTCTGCGCTGACGTTCATAGCCTACCTGGTGCACTTCGACAAGCCTATCCAAAACCATCAACACCGATCGATCCTCAGCGTAAACCCAGCATTGCAGGTGTTCTTCCATTGCCACGCCCCTGTACGGCACATGCTGCTCCAGGGATTAGTGGCCGTGAAGGTCAATTGACAGTTGCCATTTTCAGCTCCTCGCACTTCAGTTCGTCCGACGATGATGACACGCATAGCTTGATTATCCTCCCCAACTGGGTTTTGATGCCGGACGTACGTCGAGGAGTCGTGAAAACTCACGACATACAAACTGTTTATCATTGTCTTCCTTCGCTTGAATTCTAGGTTACTCCTTCCCATCTGCCGAAGTTGCCGTTGCCTATTGATCTCTTCCCGCGATTGCCACATCAGCTTATCATCTTACTTTGCTCTCACAAGACCCGGGACAAACGTTGCGCAATCGCCGCACCTATCTTGAAAGATGCACTGGTTGATGTCTTTGAGAGCCTAGAAACAACGTGGCAAGTTGATACAAGATGTGATGGAGCTGTGCACCCTTCTGAAGAACCCTTAGTTGGCATTTTCAATATTTCACATTCGGGTGGTCATAAATTTGCCGGAAATATGATTATCAACTTTCCCAATGGAGCTTCAGTTTGGTGAGCACAGAATTTCTATCTTCAGATGGTTGACTGTGATTATCATTGGCTCATCTTCCCAACATTTTCTTCTAAAGGTATGGTCGGGTGATGCCATCAGATTGTGAGCGAATAATTAAGGAAACAGTTTTGAACCACAGAGTGATTCCAGAATTATTGAAAGGTGGATTTGGGCTTGGTACCTTAAACTCCAATAGCCTGCTTGCGTGGTAAGGTACTCGTGAAGTATCCTTTAAACATTCTTTCAATTTGTACCAGCTTGTTGTAAGGAAGTATCCCTTTTTTGTTTAATTTTTGCATAGTGCTTTTTAATTATACATAGTGTTACAAAGCAAGCCCATTGACAATTCGAAATTTGAGTCTATTGAGACACCCAAAAATAAAATTGAAAACCCACAAAATACCAGATTATACAAATTCATATCCATCAGTCATGATGTGCTTGTTGGAATCCTGTGTTTCCTTAAGAGCTCCACAACTTGGGACTCATACTTGCAATCCTGTTCACTCCAGAAAATCGTGTCAATAGTCTTTTGACATATCACATGTCTTATTATAATATTTCCTCAATTGCTTTTCTCTCTTTACTTGAGCGGCCCACAGATCACTTTGCTCGGATTTATTTGCAGATCTCTGACTTGAGGTTGATAACGTCCCGCAAAGAACAATTCAGACTTGGTTAAGTTAGGGTTGCTGTGACGACCTCAAGCATAGTAATAGCATAGCTAGGTAATCCCCCATACTACTTACCTGTAAACTTGATGCCTGGAGCTCTTGAATATGATCTAGTGTATATATTATACGTCCTTGCGTTTTCAATTGTCCATTTTCACTCAAGGTGCTCTAATTAAACTTTCATTCCGAAAGAAAGTCTGGTTCTTGCCAAACTCAAGATCTATAAACCTCTATAAACGCCGTACTCAAGAAGTCTCAAATCTACATTGACTCCAATTACGACTATATTTATGACCTTGAAAAATCTGTCATCAGTTTTTTGTGCAAAGAGTTTACCAAACACACTGGAATTAGCTACGAAGGAAGCAAGATCTATGACTCTGAGTTCATAGGGCATTGGGAAGAGAAATGACCGCCACTCTTGACTCATATAAGTCCTTTACAAGCCGTCATGTTTTATGTATCAGGGGAAACCTGAATTTATCTCATCACCAGTCCCATCGACTTATGGATTGTCAGTAGACCCTTTGATCATTAATCGCTCTTGAGCTTTTGCAGAGCGTCCTTGGCACGTTTTCAAGAATTCGCTTTCTTGTATCTGGAATGAAATTGATTTTAAAATTCTTAGTCTGATAACTAAGAATATCAGCTATTACTTTTTTGTCTTTCCGCGCACTTATCTTGCCAAGAGTGATGGCAGCTAATGATCACAAGCAAACCTCATGGCAAGTTGATGTCAGAACATATCAAATAAAAGTCCAAGTTTGAACAACTTGCTCTCTTTATCTTTGACTTATCAGGCTATAGAAGGCCGAGGATGACTCTTATAAAGCTTGATGCAGGAGAATTGCATGTAAGACTCCCAAGACGTGGAATTGGTCTGATTATTTCATTTTCCAAGCCTGACTTATACGCAACCAACACATAGTGGATAAATGATTCAAAAAACATGGGATCATCACTTCTTCGACACCTCCTGACATAACAAAATCCCTGATGTAAAGGAAATTTCGATTGAATACTTAGATAACACTGAGGACATTGACAAATTTGCTATTCAGCTTTCATAGGTTTTGCACATTCCGATGATTTACACAGGGAATGGGTCGGTAAAGTCAGGTACCAATTGTTGTAGCATCTTCAAAAGCTCGTAGTAATGCCCCAACCTATACTGAGCCTCTGTGTCTGGTCCCGCTTGTTCGGTGATCATGACCGTGTATGGATCTGAGGTAATCCCGGACGTTTTGATTGCTCGAAACATGTCCGAATCTCGCTCATCATCTCCCACCGCAAGTGCAAGATGATACGGATGTTCAATTTGATCCCTCAGATGCTCCACCGCGGTTCCTTTGTGAACATCGGGGGGCGTTATCTCCATCAAAGTGCCGCTCGCATAGTGATAAGTCACTCTGGCGTCGTTGTCCGATAATTCACTTGAGATGCGTGTCCAGAAATCGTTGACTGCGGAAAACAAAGTCGTCAAATTCTGCGATGTCCCGAGGGAAGGCAAAAAGGCAGCTTACAATCGTGATTTTGTGACTTTGTTGTGAAGGTGATCGTGGCAAGTTTCTCTGGGTCCATTTTCCCTCTACCTGGCCAATCTGAAGGTCGAATCAAGCGGATCAGTGAGATTTAGCATCCCAAAAAGGCAGGCTGGATGACGAAAGATGACAAAAATGGTATCTGACTTGGATGCCTATAACCCATTTCATTTCGAATAGCTGTGATCATAAGCTCTGCGTGGTCAGTTTCCAAGACTACATCTGTTGTTTTGAAATCACTGACTTTTAAGTTGCTCCTTGGTCGTCTCGACCCAATTCTTGTCGTATGCAATAAACTCAGAGTCGTGGTATGCGGCTGTAGGTGCTTTGTAGAGCGCACCATGTTCACCATACCACCCCAAATTTGTAATTGCACGATAGTTTCTTATCAAAGAGTCCCTGGACTTCCCAGTGTTCAGATACACATGGTAACCCGGCTCGTCGCATAAGGCTTGAAGCAATTTGTCTACCCATCTTCCTACTCTGTTTCGATTTCCATCCATGTGTGATTTCAGCGTTCCCTGAATGAACAAACGTGAAACATATCAGTTGCGACAAGGATGACTGTGCTGGTGTCTAAAGATAAATAGACATAATTATGGCTACTTACATCAACATCAAACATAAGAAGAACGCTTCCACTGTCTCCTCTATATTCTTTGGCGGTTTCAACGAAACTTGCGCAATCGAACGTGGAAAGTGCCATAACAAGGTATGAACTCAAGGAGAGTGACATGAAGAAAGCCACCCAGAAACAAAGGAAGGAGCTATGCAATACCATGTTGGAGTTGAATACGAATTATAAAGAACCTTAGTTATCACCCTTATAAACTGGATGTCACTAGATAATGGGGAGAAGTGAGACTACATAGCGGGATAATTGCACTCTTTTAAATGATTGATCGGTCCCCTATAAAGGTTAGAAAAATTCCCGAATATCACGCAGTTCAGATTTGAATCTCATCTTGGGTGATCTGTATGATAAGGATCAGAAGCTGAAGTTGTGTTGTAACTTCAGAAAAATTGCTTTCTGCGAGGTCAGATAAGTTTTCTTTTTGTTGAATGTCATCTTATAACAAGCATCAGATATTGAAGAAAATTCATACTTGTCTTGAAAATATTCAATCATGCTCATCTTAAACTTATTGTAGCTCCTTCACCATTACCACCACTTAACCTAAGTAGGAAACCACATGTTGAACCAAGTAGTGACGGATTGGGATAAAGAAGAGGTCAGCAATGAAACATAGAGATGAGAAGAGACTAGGACGGATTGGGAAAGGAAGGAGGAGAATTTTCACCTATTTGTAGTTTGTGTCTGTTCAGAAACCGTTGTTCCCCTTTTTCTCATCTGAACTATTTTTACTCTTTTTCATTCGAGTTCATTTCCTCACGAATATTATCTAATCCGTTCGGAATAGGTTCGAGAGCTTTTCATTCCAATCTCTCTGTTATTTCCTGAGCGAAGTTCTGATTGAACTTCTATAAAAGTTTATCACATTATCAGTACCAGGAACTCTAAGAGAAGCTAAAATGTCGATGGAGCTCGATGCGGAGAAGAGTCCATCATCTCGGATGCTTCTGACCACGAAGAACTACCTCACTTGGGTTACAATGATCAAATGTAAACTCGACCGATCCGGCCTCCTCGAGATAGCACTCGGAACAGAAAAGGTCGCTCGAATTCAAGGATCCGAACCAACTGATCTAATGAAAGAAGCATATCGAATCAAAAGTAAGAGAGCTTACAACCTCATCATTGATTACCTGAATGAAGACAACCTAGCTCTTGTCAGTAGCAATGAGGAAGTCGGTAAAGCACGAAATGCTTTCATGCTTTGGACTTTACTCCGTGAAAAGTATATCGGTGAAAACATGCTCAATCAAACAACTCTCTTCACTAAATTCGCCAATATCGTGTTTACCGACGTTGAAACATTTGTCAAAGAAGTCCGATCAAGTGCTAATGAATTGAGAAGGTCTGGTTTCAAGATGGGTGAAGAAATGAAAGTCATCATGGCCCTGTCGAAACTTCCCCCTGAGTACGAATCTTTTGTTAGAGTTATGACTCACGGTTTCCCGGATCAAAACCTCGATTTCATGCTACATAGGCTGGAGCAAGACCAACTTCAAACTGCAACTAGCGGAATTGAAGCAAACCGAGCAACTGCGAATCATGTCAACGCAAAGTCTACTCGTAGTGAGGTCACCTGCACTCATTGCAAGAAAACCGGTCACGAAGAGACGAAGTGCTGGAAGAAGTATCGACACCTAGCCCCTAATCGAAACCGTTATCGATCTCAGAAACCTGCCGAAGACCCGGAAATCCCTACCGTCGCAAGCTATGCAGGCGTGGACGATTCTATTCCTGGGTCAGTTCAACTTCCTCGAATCTCGAACTTCGTATGCTCAACTAGTCCTGAATCAAATCTTCTCGATTCAGGTGCTTCTGATCCAATGTTCAAGTCTAGGGATGCATTCAAAACATACACCAACTGCAGTATTGATATTAGCATAGGAGAGGAAGGCCGAGTAATTAAGGCTATTGGAAAAGGCACTGTTACCATCAAATCTAAATATGGTCAATATGATATCAATGATGCTTTCCATGTTCCCTCTTTACCACACAATCTGTTTTCGCTTACTCCATTCTGGAGGAAAGGTGTCCAACTTGTTTACTGTAATAGCAATATGTTCGTGCTTAAAAAGAATGATACTGTTATACTTGATGGAAATATCATCAATAAACTTCTTATCTTGAATATTGAAATCATTAAAATTCATCAATCAAATAACGCCCTTCACACCTCAGCTATTTGGCATAAGCGTTTAGGACATCCATGTGAACAAAACTTAAAAAAAGCAGCTGAGTGCACTGAAGGAATCAATTTGAAAATCACGCCTTTACCTTTCTGTGAGCCCTGTGCATTAGGAAAATCAACTAGAAACCGATTTCCAGGCACGATTCCAAAGCCCAGTTCACCATTAGACGTCATTCATTCAGACTTAAGTGGAAAAATTACCCCATCATCTATAGGAGGTGCACAATACTATGTTAAATTCACTGATGGATTCTCTTCATATCGCTGGATTTACCTACTCAAAAATAAGAATGATTTCATTAAAATCTTCAAGGAATTCAAGTCTCTTGTTGAAAATCAATTCAGTAAGAAGATTAAAGTTTTTGTCAGCGATGGTGGAGGTGAATACATAAATCATGAAATGGATAGGTTATGTAAAGACTCTGGTATTATTCACCAAGTTACTGCTCCGCATACTCCTCAGCAAAATCCAATATCTGAAAGAGGAAATCGAATCACCGTTGAAAAAGCTAGAACGATGATAGCTCAATGTTCTCTTCCAACATCATTCTGGGGAGAAGCAGTTATAACAGCAACTTATCTTGAAAATCGTACCCCGTCATCTGCAGCCTGTTTTAAAACTCCATTTGAAATCATCAACAAGAAGCTTCCTAATGTGAATCATATCAAGATCTTCGGCTGTGCTGCATATAAGCATATACCGTCAGCAAACCGTAATGGTAAATTCAATGCTCGAGCAGATAAATGCATACTTCTAGGCTTTACTGAAGGTACCAAGAACTATCGGTTGATCCGTATTAGTGATCGCAAATTAATCTTATCACATGATGTTGTTTTTAATGAAAACGAGTTTCCTTCACTTGGATCTAAATCAAATCACACGTCCGAGATCGCCGTAGAAGATGATGTTGAATATGATGATAATATTGAAAATGATGAGCAAGTTAACAACAATCATGAAAATAATCAAGTCGATGATGATTTACCTAATGAACCCGAAAATCCTATCAACAATGATCAACCTGATGTTCAACCAAATGAAGATGGTCCTGAAGTAAATGAAGGAGGTAATAACCCGATTCCACAGGATCCAATCAGAATCCGAATTCACAATCCCGCCATGGCTGAGGCAATTCGAGAAGAACGTAATGCTCAAAATCAACCTCAACGTAACGTTCGAAGGTCAAATCACATACGAGGAATTCCCGCTCCAAATGTATCCGCCATGATAGCTCAGGCATCAGCATTAATCTCATCAATTGGTAACGAAATCGAATCATCTTTACCCTACACCCCACTTGACAACATCATCGATCCAGCTAGTTACTCAAAAGCGAAATTAGGATCCGACTGGTTAAAGTGGAGAGATGCTGTTCATGATGAATTTAATTCACTTATTGAAAATAATGTCTTTGAAATATGTAAATCAATCCCTAAAGGCCGAAAATTCATTGGTACCCGATTACTTCTAAACAAGAAATTAGATGGAAGGTATAAAGCAAGATGTGTTGCTCAAGGTTTTCGTCAAAAGGAAGGTATTGATTATCATGAAACGTTTTCTCCCACTGGAAGAATAGCTACTCTACGAGCCGTGGGTGCCATTACCGCATTAGAAGACTTGGAATTTAGACAAGCAGATTTCGTTACAGCATTTCTTAACTCATCACTTGCCAAAGGAGAAGAAGTTTACATCAGAGCCCCAGAAGGATTCATCGAATGGTTAAAATCATTACCAATTAACTCAAAAATTTACCTAAAGTTCAAACTACTTATTGATGATCCGGATGCATGCATACAAGTGCTACAATCTCTGTACGGTTTGAAGCAGTCAGCACGAAACTGGTATATGACAGTATCCGACTGGTTCACTTCAAACGGTTTTCACATTAGTTCTGCCGATCCTTGTCTGTTCATTCATGTTGATGAAAATCAACAACGATCTTATGTTTATGTTTGGGTTGATGACATGGCGCTTGCGGGAAAGGATGTAGATTGGATTTTGGATGGTTTGAAGAAGGAATTTAAAATTAAGGATCTTGGTAATGTGGATTATTTGTTGGGAATGAAGGTAACAAGAAATCGAGCTGAACGCTAGATTTCATTTTCACAAGAACGTTATATTGAAAGTTTACTAAAAGAAAATGGAATGGAAGATTGTAAGCCTATTGGAACTCCGATGCAGTCAAACGAAACACCAAGCGTGGCAACTGAAGATGACCGCAACGCCTTCATAGCTAGCGGAAATGATTATAGAGCAGCTGTTGGATCTCTTAACTATCTGTCACAATGTACAAGACCTGACTTAGCGCATGTTGTTAGCGTACTATCTCAATTTCTTGAAAAACCCGGTTTAACCCATTGGCAGTGTTACAAGAGAGTCCTACGATATTTACGTGGTTCTATGCACTTATCTCTTGTTTACGGAAAATTGACATCAACCTCGGACATGCCCTTCCTTCAAAATGACTCAAAGGCGCCATCTCCCAGTACACCCGTAGCATTCTCAGACTCAAACTGGGCAGGATGTCCCTTGACTCGAAGATCAACGTCAGGATATGTATTCTTACTCAATGGTGCTGCATTAACCTGGAGAAGTAAAAAACAACCAACTGTTGCTTTATCATCTACTGAGGCTGAATACCGTGGTTTTCTGGATGCAGGTCAGGAAGGTGTGTGGGTGAGAAGGTTGATGAGTGATTTAGGTTTTGAGAATTTATGTTCAACAACATTATACGGAGATAATCAAGGATCAATAGCTTTAGCCAAGAACCCGGTTTTTCATGCAAGAACAAAACATGTTGAAATTCATTTACACTGGATCCGTGAGAAGATCAAGGATGAAACATTTACTATATTATACTGTCCTACTGAACATATGATTGCT